TGCAAAATTCTCATCAAACATATTAAAGTATTTATCACTGTTGTCCTTTACACTCCTTTCCAACTCAAAAATTCTATCTCTCAATTCCATATTCTCTCTTTCCAATGAAACTGCCATTTTTCAATCAGATTGATTAACAGATCAAATGCTGTGAAATCAGTTAAAAGAAATCAAGAACAATTCAACTCAAAAACAAAAACCAGAAAACACAAAAACTATTGAGAAAATCAGTGTAAAACTATTAAAAAAAACCAATAAAACAGTCAAAACTGTTGAAAACAGTAAAAACTGTTAAAAACAGTCAAAACTGATAAGAAATAGTTTACGCAGCGTAGAACAGTTAAAAAAGTTGTCAAAACAGTTAAAAAAATCAAAACAGATTAAAAAACACAAAAACACAAAAAAAAATGATCCAAAAATAAAATCCAGAGAAAAAAAAAAAAAATAAAAGACCAACATAACACAAAAAAAAATTGGGGCCAAAACAACAAAAACAATAGGCTAAAACAAATGGGCTTAAAAAAATGAATTTGGTGATTAAAAAGCCGAAGAAAATGAAAATGGTTTTGGAAGAAAAAAAATAAAAGGCCATTAAGTCCAAACTAATTTTGTGTTGGACCACAAATCCAAGTAAAAAAATTCCTGAAAACAAACATGGGAAGTTTTAGACCGGGAAGCACAATCCGGATGTGTTGTTCCCTAATAATCAATCTTCAATACCTCTTTATACAAATCCATGGCAGATTCAAGATATGCATTAAGAACAATATGAGAGATGAAGGTTGAGAGAGAAAGTCAAATATCACAAACTTGGTCAAANCAAATATCACAAACTTGGTCAAACTCTTATTTACATAAACTGAATATTGCAAAATGAGCTCTCTTCGCAAAATTACAAAAGACTTACCCTTTATAGAGGGTCAAAGATGTAAACAAAGTCAAAGTCAAACAATCTATAGAAAAGTCAAACACGATGACTTTTATACAATTATAGACAATTTTAACTTTTAAGAAGAATACAATTTTACACTGAATTTCAGTCCTAACATTCTCCCCCTTTGTATTCAGACTTGAAAGAATTTGCATGCTTTGAGTCTCGTTTGAACTTTATCATATTGAGCACTTTATGACTTCTTCAAAACAATCTTCAACTTGAAATCTTCAGTCCATCGTTTGTTGATAAAGATCTTCTAACATTATCCCCCTCAAATGTAGAACCGCGATGATCTTCTCTTTTGACAATGTAGAACAAAAACAGTAACAATCTTTAGAATTAAACTTTAACAAACTTTCTCTTCAAATGTAGTCTTTATCAGCAAACTGTTGTAAAATTGATCTTCACATTCAACAACTCTCAGACATTGTAGCACATAAATAATCTTTTGTATTAATCTCCAGTCGCACTCCTTTTGAGTCTTTTGCCATCATTGAAGTTACTCCCCCTTGATCTTTACAACAAATTCCCCTTATAATGTTCGGAATTGGACATTTCATTCATTATTACATACTCCCCCTTATGATGAAATGAGAATCATGACATCATACACAAAAATGAATGAAATTTCCCGCGAAAGCCGTCAATTCATGAAATTGTAAGTAGATCTTTTCAAATCCACTTATTTAATATTTTCAGATTAAGGGAATGGGAAGATAACAACCAATTTCAACGAATGAAATTGTTTTCAATCTTATAAAAGATTGTTCTGTGAGTATAACAAATATACTCGGTACAACGGATGTACTGTATATATGAGACTTTTTGAGACTCATCTCACCAGGTCTTCCATTCAATCATCGATAGCTTAATAGAAACATATCTATGAATGTTTTGACAAAATAACATATAAAATGCAAAATCTGTGTAGTGTAAAAAAAATAAAGCAACATATGTTTCTGTTTAGGCTCAAAAAGATAAATCGTGTGGACTACACAAATTTATCAGACTCAATACATGATCAAAAAGACTTGAAGGGGGGACATATATCTTTCTGATTCAATATCAACTTTCTCCGAATAAGAAACTGATAGATAATGAGCTGCGTGCCCAAGTGTTATTGAAACACTTATCTGTTGAGAGATAAATTAGTAGCTGGTGGGGTTGTGGCAAGAGTTGGTCTGGGCTTTGCCTTTTTCAATATTAGTCTCGAAAGAATTGAGAACTAATAGATTGTGTGGTATGCCCGGATTTTAGAAGTTTAGAACATGATTTTTATAATCTTTTAATCCTGACACAACTCTCATCAATTCTTTTAGCTCACAACAACTACCCCTCTCTTTTTCATTTTAAGCTCTACACACAAACCCTTTTTCATTTAAAGCTCACTCAGATATGGTTGTCCTCTTGGGTAGGTTTGTCGGTTCTGACATTCCATAGAGGTATTTCTGTTAAGCACTCAGTCCCTCCTAAATACAGTATGCTCATATGATCACAAGAGTTGATCAAAATTAATATTTCAGATAAAGCACAATGATCTAATAAAAATTGATCATGATATTTGGCTTTAAGCACAATCAATAAAGGAATGCGAGAGAAATGAATGAAGATCTGTAAGTACGAGTCTACATATTCTGAGATTCTGATTAAAAAATTGAAGTGTATATCAATCAAAGAAAAAAATCAGAAAATCAACCTTTGAATACAAACGAGCGTATTATCACCAAAAAATATATTATTTTAAGAGACGTGATAATAACAGTTTGAAGAATAGTTGAAACAGGTATTAGAGTTATGTACGATGAGAAATTACACAAGTAAAATCTCAGGAAATACCTGTTCAGAAAATGTACTCCTTTCCTTAAAAAAAATTCATTTTCCGAAAAATATTTATTGAACTTTCTAGAGACTCCCCCTAGAAATTAAGATTTAAGAAATATTTCGATTCAGCTCAAAAATTAAAAACATTGGAAACATGTTTAGCACGAGTCCTAAAGTGTGTGTTTAGAAACCACAATCGTTTAAGCACGAGTTTTGAACTGATGTATTCAGAAGCCTTATTCCTTAACTCACACAAATCACTCTTAGATGTATGACGTTTTCGAGTTAAGTCCTCTGTATCTATATTATCTTTCTCAGAAGAATTCCTCTCACTTTGCAGATCTTGAAGTTTATAAATAATTCCTTATTAGCATTACTCCAAGTCCTCAAATCATCATCATAGTTTTTATTTACAGAAAACAAAGATTTCTCAAGTTTTTCAACCTTATACTGAAAATCCTTCTCAATTCTTTCACATTCTTCTTTTTGATATTTCTGTAAATCTTTGATAAATTCCAGATTAGAGTGATTCTCATAGAATATATTTACATATTTATTTGTATATTGTTTCAATCTCTTTTCCAACTCTAAAACTTTCTCTTTCTAAACTTTATTCTCTCTTTCCAATGAAACTGCCATTTTCTAAAAACAGATTGATTAATCGGATCAAATGCTGTGAAATCAGATAAAAGAAAAAAAAAATAGTTAAGCTAAAAAACAAATACAGAAAAACACAAAAACTGATGAGAAATCAGAAAAACAGCGAAAACAGTAAAAAAAAAATCAGTAAAAACAGTCAAAACTGTTGAAAACAGTTGAAACTGATGAAAAACAGTTTACGCGGCGAAAAACAGTTTAGAAAATCTCAAACAGTTCAAAAGTAAAACAAAAACAGATAAAAGAATTAAAATTCTCAAAATTCAACAAATTCGGACACGAGATATGCAAGAATGACTAACTCAAACTCGGTGATGACTAATCCGGACACGATGTGAGCTAGAAAGGCAAGATCAGACAAGACTATAACAGGAGACTATCTAATCTAAATGAGCTTATACACGAGGAACTTTAAATCACAACCAAGTGATATAACCAATAATGGTGTCCGGACAATGCTAGTGAGCGATTTAAACTAAGTCGGACAACCTAGTGTACGGTTAATTTGGACTCTGGACAAATGTAAAATATGCAGCTAAGTCCTAAACCGGTCAAATGTTCGTACAAACAAGACAGAATCCGGTCACAAAGGTGGCAGATTTGTACACTAGCCAAGCGATTTAAAACAATCCGGATAAGACTTGTATATGAGAAATGAGAAATCCGCTTAAGTCTTATATGATGAACAACCTAAATCGTCTAAGCCATGTCCGATGAAAAATTATCCGGACACAACTCAAGAGACTTGTCAAGCGATATAACAATATCCAGTCACCAAGTCAAGTATAAAGCCAAGCGATTTATGAAGTCTGGTCACCAAGTCAAGTATAAGCCAAGCGATATATGAAGTCCTGTCACCAAGTCAAGTATAAGCCAAGCGATTTATGAAGTCCGAACAAAGAACAAAAACATAAAAACTTTGAAAATTCATACAAAAAATGAATCAAAATTTACCTTTTTGATGAATTTTATCAAGAACACGAAGAACTTCAAAAATTCATAAAACCAACAAATCTCTTAAAAGAGTGTTAAAATCTGTAAAATCTATGAACAACAATCATTCACATATCAAATATACATACGATGATCAAAATTTTAACACCTAAACAGAAGATTTAGAAAAAATTTCGGATCAAAATAAAGAAAAAGATAAGAACACTAAGAACACAAATGAAGAACACCCAAAAAAATCCAGAAAATTTTCTTCCAAATATCTTCAAATTCCTGATTTCTTTCAACGATTTCTTTGCATTTCCAGCTCTGATACCAATTGTTGTTCCCTAATAATCAATCTTCAATACTTCTTATACAAATCCATGGCAGATTCAAGATATGCATTAAGAACAATATGAGAGATGAAGGTTGAGAGAGAAAGTCAAATATCACAAACTTGGTCAAACTCTTATTTACGTAAACTGAATATTGCAAAATGAGCTCTCTTCGCAAAATTACAAAAGACTTACCCTTTATATAGGGCCAAAGATGTAAACAAAGTCAAAGTCAAACAATCTATAGAAAAGTCAAATACGATGACTTTTATATAATTATAGACAATTTTAACTTTCAAGACGAATACAATTTTACACTGAATTTCAGTTCTAACAGGATGAAAGTATATACGAGGAACAAGCTCGCGACTAAGTTGAATCAGGATGAAAAAGATGAAATTGATGTCCAAGAAATAAGTAATCCGGATGACCCTCAAGCGATGTCCTACAATTCGTATAAGACTACAAACGATGAGAATTGGACTTGAAATGGAAACAACAAATGATCAAGTCTTAACCCGGACACTATGTTAGGCGATGAGCTCAATATCCAGATACACTTATGCAGAAAATGGTTAAGTCTGAATCGGATGGTGTGTTGAGCGATGAACCTTGAATACGGGTAAAGGGTTGTCCGAGATAAATCAAAAGAGTCCTTTGTTTATGATATCCAGTGCTGCTGAAAAGGCCCCAATTCTTTTCTTCTTCCAAATTCTTTCCAGTTTCACTATTTTCTTCACTATCATCAAGTTCAAGGAGTTGTGGCTCTGAAGAAACCTTATTCAAAACATCTGTTACAGAATCCAAATAAGCATCCCCTTTCCTAAACAAAATTCACCTTTAAAAAAAAAAACTCAAACAACAGCAAATTTGGATTAGATAGGAAATTACTTAAATGGTTTCAATTCAATATATCATGCATTATGCGGGCCTCAATCACAATCACCAAATAAGGTCCATCCTGGGAATGGAGAAGCTGGCAAACAACTGGATCCAGCAGACTACCATCCTAAAGACCCTCCACCTATTCAAAATACACAACCACAAACGGTAATTATAGCGAAAGAAGAGACTCAAAATGAAGTTAAGGAGGAGGCTAAAAAAGAAGAAGCAGAAACACTCAAACACACAGCAGTCTTCAAACCAGGTGACTTTTTACAAGGATAAGCCGGCTAAAAACATTCTGATATACACAACAGTCTTCGATTTACACAGATATTGAAAAAGAATCGGAAAGACTCACAACTGACGAAGACGAGCAGTCTGCTATGGTCGCTTCGCCACTCTTTTGCGTTGTTCCAATGAAGGTCGATTCTTTCTCCACCAGTCATCTCCTCTCTATCTGTTACTTTATATAGAATCTGATTACTTTTTTGTACGTACGAAGGAAGGATGTGAAGGCAGTGATTCGAATGATGCAAAATCGATTACACCCAAAATTGATTACCCTCAAAACAGGAAGCCATCGATTTCTTTCAGCGATGAAGATTGAATCAAACACATAGATGAATGATGTAAGACAAAATCGGACAAGAAGAGTAATTTCTTAAGCGATTTATGAGAAATCCGATCAAGCTGTTGAACGATGATGCCTTAAACCGGACGATGAACTCGGATAACTTGATAAACAATTAACATCATGTCCGAACAATACCTAAATCGATTGAAATGAGGTGCGATAAATGCTAAACCGGACAATTAATGATGAAATAAAACAAGGAACGATCGATTTATAGTGAGCGATTTACAAAATCCGGTCAAGTCTAATTCGAGTCATTGAGCGATTTACAGAATCCGGCTACCTTGATGTGATTTTGGCTAAGTTCTAAACCGGGTAAAGCTTCAAGCGATTTACAAGAATCCGGTCATGCCTAGTCTAAATCTTTGAGCGATTTAGAGGAATCCGATGAAGCCGTGAGCGATGTCGATGAAGATGAATGCTATTGTGAAATGAATGTGACCGATTTAGAAGAAAGATGAAGAATACAGGTTGGGCCTAGCCTAAAATAGGTTGGTGTAACACCCCATTCCACATATTGCATGTAACATATACTTCATATACAAGGAATACATGTTTGTACACCACAAAGGTCCCTTAGTACAAGAATGGGAAAATTGCATCAAAATGGAACCAACTTTCACTTAATTCCTATTTTGGGGAACCAACTTTCAAAATCGTCATTTTGGGGAACCAACTTGCATCTGATTCCTATTGTGGGGAACCAACTTTCAAAATCGTTATTTTGGGGAACCAACTTGCACCTAATTCCTATTTTGGGGAACCAACTTGCAAAATAATTATAGAAAAATAACTAAAATTCGTTTTTTTTCCCAAAAATATTGCAATAAAATCTATTTTTCATTTCAAATCTCGTTTTTTTATAATTCAGATATCAAATTGAACATTTAAAAAAAATCCAAATTAACACAATAAAAAATAATTGATGCAATAAAAACTAAATATTAAATATCACATTCAAGATTTTTATATCTAACCAATTGCATCAATTAAATTTTTTTCCATTAAATTGAATTGTTTTGCATTAGTAAAAAATAATTTTTATTGTGGTAATTTGGATTTTTAAAAAAATGTTCAATTTGATATCTGAATTAAAAAACCGAGATTTGAAATGAAAAATAGATTTTATTGCATTAATTTTTGAAAAAAAAAACGAATTTTAGTTATTTTTCTATAACTATTTTGCAAGTTGGTTCCACAAAATAGGAATCAGGTGCAAGTTGGTTCCCCAAAATAACGATTTTCAAAGTTGGTTCCCCAAAATAGAATCAGATTCAAGTTGGTTCCCCAAAATGACGATTTTGCAAGTTGGTTCCCCAAAATAGGAATCAGGTGCAAGTTGGTTCCCCAAAATAACGATTTTAAAAGTTGGTTCCTCAAAATAGGAATTAGGTGAAAGTTGGTTCCATTTTGGTGCAATTTTCCATACAAGAATCTACTAGAACAAAATACATGGTCCAAAAATTCAAAATACAATTCTTGCACTAATCCAGTTACATCTGCCAAAACTATACAAATCATCAGCCAATCTTCATGTAGATAAACATATTAGGAAATTATTATATTTTCCCCTTTCCCTTACCATCAGCACTTCCTGCAATACATATTTAAAATTACAAAACGAGGGTTAGACCGAAAGGTCTAGTGAGTTACCCTATTTATGTCATTGCAGGGTGATAATCACCAAAACTTTTAAATAAAACAACTTTTCATATATATAACAAATATATGAATAAGTGAGAACACAATATCAATACCTTTCACCTTTCAAGCCAACAATCTTTGCTTGTAAATAATATATCAAATCCAGACAGGTTTATACTAACCAAATAACATAATGCCACTTTTAAACCTTTTACCACTCAAACAAGGTTTATTTAAAGTTTCAATCCAATTCTGTTATCCCCTTCTCTATAACATTCAAACTATGATTTTCAATAAGAACCCTTATCCTAAATCTTTAAGTCACAAAGAAATAAAGATTCCAGACCATAGTAATCTTAATGGATATGATAGTAAGAGTTATAATATATAACACACACATACAATTGCCACCCTTATATCCAAATGTACACCTCTCTTTGATATGTCACCCTTATCCCATGGTACATCTCTCCTTGATATGCCACCCTTATCCCATGGTACACCTCTCCTTGATATGCCACCCTTATTTCTTCATCAAAACATTTCACAAAAACAATTCCATATAGAATAGACCGTAGTCAATGGAATTATTATCAGTTCAAAATCATCTTTTTCAGGATTCCCCCATTTATATAAATCATGAACAAGTCAAAAATGCAAATCCGGTCAAAATAGGTGTTAGCTCTCATATTTCATTTAATGTAAAAGTATGAAAAAGTATTTCTGCAAGTGTTGAAAGAAGGGTTCATTCCACAGAAGACCACAGAGGACCAACAACAGAAGATGTTCATTCGTACAAGTCAAGATTGACAGAACCTCTGTTGTCTCTCACAGAGGTTCTGGAAAATGGTCCTCTGTTATCAAGAGCTTACAAGTCATATACAACAGAGCTTCTGGGATGGCTCACAGAGGGTCTGCGGTTCATCTTTTGTGGAGAACCTCTTCTTTCTGTTTTACATTGGTTTGTTAGCTGCACGTGCTTCTCACGTGACTATGTTTGTAATCGACTTTATTTGAACGGCTTGGATCATTTCACTTGTCTAGGTCATGTCAGAAAAGTCGTTAGGAACTAGTATAAATAGCAG